TTCCACCACAGGATCCGAATACCACACAGTATTCGAATACTTTCACTACAGTATTCGAATACCACACAGTATCCAAATACTTTTACTAAGGTATCCGAATACTTTTTTACCCAGAAAAGTATCCCAATACTCCTTGATGAGTATTCGACTACCTGCTTATGAGTACTCGAATACTCCATGAAAAGTATTCGAATACTTATCAGACAGAATGCAGAAACTCATGCAGTTTCTGCATAATCTTCATTTTAAGGGTCATCTCACGATTTGGAGTCCAATAAATTCCACAAACAGAAGTTTATTAATACATTTTAACCATGGATTATTAATCTTTAACTTGAATAATCACGGGGAATTATGATGGTTTGCAGAAACTCAAACAAGCTCAAACCGTGAAATTTCAAGGGGAAGTGATCATGGTTTACCTCTAGGCTTAAGAACTCAGAAAAAGAAAGTGACTTGGAGCTTCCAACACAGCTCTAAGGTTCTGACTTTCCAAGACCACGAATTTGACACACAAGCTTGGTCCTTTATACCAAAAGGTGGTTTCTTGAAACCTTAAATGCCAAGAAAATGCTCCTACACACCTCAACAAGGATGAATAGCCCCAAAGCCCAACCAACAACAGCCTATCACTCATAAAAGATGACCCTTCTTCCTCCCTAAGCACTCAACTAGGTGTTTACAAGAATAAATGGGAAAAATCAATGAGGAATAAGAGGTTTTGATCAAGTTTTGTGCATAAACCCAAGTCTCCAAGAAGAAAGGAAGGTGGCAGCCAAGGTTGAGCATAAGGCAGCCTCGGAATTTCATGTAGAGGTTTAAGGTTTCTGACCTAGGTTAATGTGCCAACCTATATATAGGTTCACTTAACTTAATCCATCAGTAGTAGCTCTAACTTTTCTAGGATTTGTCATATTTTTATTATAATTTTCGCAGCACTTTGCCGGTACGCGTTTTACACGGAGCCAGTATTAGTTCTGACATCAAAACTCATTATTATGACTTCAAACTTGATATACTAGTCCTAAATATTATTCTAAGAATATTCATACACTTATTATAATTTTTCGAGATACTTCACCTGTACGCATTTATACCGTGAAGCATGACTAGTATCTGCACTTTTCGTCAGAAAAGTGACTTTTAGCGTTATTAAGCCCTTATTATAATTATTTAAGTCTTCATGTATTTATCCAAGGTCAATTATGAAATTATTCCCTAAGCTCAATATTCAATTATTAAAATTTCTAATTTAACGGTGCGGGTTCTTACAAATAACGCGATGAATTATTTTTAAGTTGATCTGAACCTTTTGTCATAAAGGGAATACCATTGTGATACTTGGGAACAACTATCCAGAACAATTCAATACTATTAACCATTACTTTATTCTTTAACATAGCTTAAGATTCATATTAGCAATACTATCTATGTGGGAATGATAATCTCGACATAAAACTCTCATTTATTATTTGATGCGTGCACTTGCACAATTGGATATTTCTGTTGGAAACGAATGAGTTTTCCTTGAGTAAATGCTAAGGGACCAACAATCATAATTCTGGGAACGAATATGTTTTCCTTGATTGATTGCATGGACGCCAACATACAACTTTAAATACATTAAGGCTCGTTAAGGCAGACCAAAGAAAGTCCACAACCTCCACACATACAAGGCCTCGCGGATAATGCGAAATTAGCATTGGTTGCTTGCCATACAATGCTTGAAAGGGCAACATCCGTATTGCTGAGTGCACTGCCATATTATAGTGAAGTTCTGCCTAACTCAAATACAATGACCACTTTCGGTTCAGATCAGAACAAAAAGCCCTGAGATATTGCACCAAATACTTGTTAGTAACTTCTGTTTGTCCATCTGATTGAGGATGATATGCAGTGCTTGTCATCAAGGTCGTACCACTTAAACAAAATAATGTTGTCCAAAATTGGCTGACAAAAACATTGTCTCTATAAAAAATCAAGGACTTAGGAAAACTGTGGAGCTTAACCACTATCTCACAAAACTTATGTGTTATCGAAGCTGTTGATAGTTGCTAGGCAATGCCCCAAAGTGAGCAAAATTTGTTAAACGATCAACAACCACCAAAATAACTGTGAATGCATTGAAAAGAAACAAAGCAGTGATGAAATCCAAAGTGAGGTCTTCAAAATCCCCTTTTGGAATTAGGAGAGGCTACAACAAGCCTAAGGGTGGTGACATAGCTGTCTTGACACATTGGCATATGTGACAACTTTTCACAAAGCCATTCACATCCTTGCGCATGTGTTCCCAAAAGAACGAAGCTGACTAACATAATAAAGTCCTCGTAACCCCCACATGGGCCAGCCAAGGGAGAAGAGTAAGCTCGCTGATATAGGATTGATGCAACGTTGGTTTAGGTCCAAGTAAATAGCGTCCTTTATGAAAGAGGATGCCATCTTTAACTGCAATCACAATATTCATAATCCCATAACTCTTGATGGATCTGGACCAAATATGAGTCTATATTATTTTCTGCACACAACTGATCAGTCAAACTATAAGTAGGCTCAGAAACCAATGCCAAAGTTGTGGCCACTGATTCATCATCATGGTTACATGACATTGCATCAGCTACAAGGTTGTTGGACCCTAGTTTATACTCAATAGAAAAGTCATACCCTACTAGTTTACAGATATAGTTTTGCTGCTATAGTGTAGAAACAATTTGGGTCAACAACTCCTTGAGACTTCGATGATCCATCTTGACCATGAATTGTGAGCCTAGGAAATAATGCCTCCAATGCGCTTAACTGCTTCCGTGAGAGCATATAGTTCCCTCACATATGTGGAAGCAAGCTGCATTCTCGTGCTCAGCTTCTTACCAAATAAGATATGGGTGGGGCCTCTTGAATTAACTTCTTCATTATAAATCATGTTGTTTCATTTCATCATTTTCATTTTATATTTCAAAAAATTCAACATTTAGTTATTGAAATTTTTTTTATTGTGATTTGATTTATTTTTTGCTTTATTTAAAAATTACAAAAATTTGTTTTCTCAATTTGTTTTTCCCTAAAAATAATTTTTTATTTTTAACTTTTGTTTTTGTTTTGATTAAAAAAATCTAAAAAATTAGTTTTCTCGACTTGTTTTTTCATTCTAAATTATATTTCTTTTTTAATTTTATTTTTCAATTTAATGTAAATTCTTATTTATTTATTTATTTATTTATTTATTTTAGGAATAAAATAAATATTTTTAAAATTATTGATAATTTGCACATTAATTTAGCATAACTAGTTTTTAATAGATGTACCTAGGTGTAGTGATATCAAGTTTTTATCATTTCCTGTACATAATCAGACTCTCAAACATTGAGCTTAAATTTTTGAAGATTATTATTTAAAATAAAAAGATATTCTACTTTTTTTAATTAAATAAAATTGGTAACAACTTCATGATTTATATTTTCTCAAATAAAAATTTCAGGTCGTTAAAGTTTTCTTTGACTTTTTTTATTTATACTTGTCATTATTCATTGTCTTCTATTTCTGTTCTCATATAGGTGATGCATCATACTCAATACCATCTTGGGTGGAGGTAGGCTATGACTGATTAGACAAATGCACTTCAATGCAGGGACATTTGCGAACTGGTTCTTCCTCCTCATGGAAATCCGATTTCTGGTTGTGGAAAGATTTTTTTTTGTTAAGGTTGACTCTAAAACCAAGATTGACTACGTTAAGGCTCATTTGCCGGCTAAATGATATATCCAGATTTTTGGCTTGGATTTCAGGGACATATTTTCATCGTTGGTGAAAATGGCCTCTATTTTCCTCTTTCTCTTTTGGTTGTTATTGGTCATTGGTCACTTCATTAGCTCAATATAAAAAAATGCATTCCTCCATAGTAATCTTGCCAAACTATAGAGCAACCTCCTACATTTTATTTCTTAGCGGAGTCTTCTAGCATTGTTTAGCATCTTCACAAATCTTTTTCTCTTAAGCAATTTACTTGAGCTTGGTTTGTTCGATTTAGCACCATATTTCAACAGTTTGCCTTCACAAGTGAAGTTGAACACTCCGTCTTTTCACAACTATTCAGCTTAAGATGTATTTATTTGATTTTAATTGCTGACGACATTGTTATCATTAGCACGAATCACCATGACATCATTAAGATAAAACAGTCTAGTTAATACTTTCATTGTAAAGATCTTGGCAAACTTCAATCCTTGTTGGGAATAAAGGTAGCACAATCAAAGGACGATATTATAATTTCACAAACACTCTTGAAGTTATCGATCTTTTGAAGGCAAAGCCAATTGACACTCTTAAAGATCCAAACACTGAACTTCTATTAAATCATGGTGATCAACTTTTGGATCTAGGAAGACATAGTAGGTTAATTCAAAAATTGAACTATTTCACAATTACTCTTCCAAATATCTTATTTGCAATCATTGTGATTAGTGGGTTCCTCAATTCTCCTTGTACTCGACACTGAGATGTCGTAATTTTTTTCTTAAAATATGTCAAGGTTCTCCAAGAATATGCCTTATCTTTAAGGAAAAAAGTCACCCATAGATTGTTGGATACTCGTATACTGGGGAAGTTCTCATACTGATAAAAGGTCCACTTATGATTGCTGAATATTCATAGAGGATAATGTGCTATTATTATGGAAAAGTAAAAAAATGGTTGCATGATCAAGTGCTCAAAAAGAATATCGCTCTTAGCTACTTATATACTTATCTACCTAAAACAACTACTTAGAGAGCTCAAATTTGAAGAGATTACGTAAGTAACATCCAATGTTTCATGAGAATTAAGAACATTAAGATTAAATATCACTTTTAGAGAGAATAAATTATTTGGAAACATCTATACTAATTTTGTTCACTCAAATAATCAACAGGTTGATATTTTCACAAAATCTTGGAAAAGTCCTCAAATAAGTTAAATATATAATAAATTTGGTGCGAACTTAAGAGAGAAAATGTTGGTGATTATGGTAATTATCTAAATAGTATATTGCTGATTATGTGAATGGTGTACTTAGAATCATGTAATTATAGAAATTAGGATACTAGTGATGCATGTATTTATTGGGTATTATTATTTTTGCTACATAATCGAAACCCCATTGTGTAATTGAGACATGAATTTTACCAAATTCTCTCGTTTTCTCTTTAACAATATCTTTGTCATATTTTAGAACTTTGGTTATGTTCAGCAAGTTGCTGCCGCAAAACCCTTCTCATAACTTTGTTTGATGCCGTCCTTGGAAGAGATGGCAGTGGTACTACTCGAGAAACCTATGCAAATGAGCATGTATTTAGAACACCAAAATAATGTGATAACGAAAAACAGGAATTTCATGAATAATAGAAATTAATCAGTACCTTGAACAATGGATTTAGTTTCTTTTGGAGAGCTGAATTGAAAGACATTCTCAATTGATGTAAATCTTCTGTTGTGCTGCTTGAATTTTTGAATACAACGGCTAAAACCAACAGCTCAGGCCCACCACCAGAACGTGGTACCCCTATTGCAGCTGTTTCAAGGATATTGCTATCTACTCCATTGCATATGCGTTCAATCTCAACCGAACTTACCTATCCAAACACCAGGGAATGTCAGAGAACGCTAATAAAGTTGAATGTTTAAACCTTCGGACAAACTATATACAGAAGAAGACAAGTCTTTCACTCTCTCTCTCACACGTGGGCGTACACATATTCTCACATAGAGAAACTAGTTTATTAACAAAACAAGACAGAAATAAAATTGAGAATCTATGTGTTTGGAATCACAGACAAACTTATAAAATAGAGAAACTAGTTTATTAACAAAATAAGACAAATAAAATTGAGAATCTATATGTTTGGAATCACAGACAGACAGACTTAAAAAAGCAAACTAGAGAAAATTTTAAATAAAAAGGTCTAAACAAAACAAAACTCAAAAAAGTCAATTATTTGATGCTACAAACTTGTGCAGAGAATTTTTTTATTTTTTTTCATGTGAAATGATAATTGAAGAGTCAGTTACTGGATATGAAACATAAGATTGAAAAGGAATTAAAGACGATAGCCACAGGATATATTCACAGTAGTAATCGATAAAAGAGTAACATAAATCGCAACATATTGTTAGATGTATCATATTCTGTGTTTCAATTAATAGGCTGCCCACATTCTATCATGCCCCAGATTCCTTTCTAGAGACTAACATTTTGTATTGATGTATTCTCTGAAAGTTAATTTCATACAATGATTTAGATTTTCATATGACAATTAAGTGTCCATATGTTATTACAATTTTCTAGCAGCTGTACATTATTACAATTTTAGACATGGAAGTTAGTGACAATACGTTAATCCATATTCACCAGGAATTACACCTGGCTTTGAGAGAATGCATCATTGCACCATTGATGAAGCTCCACGTGGTATAAGGAAAAGGAGAATGGTTGGTTTGCTTCCTATAACGGTTGGTGTTGATTTGGCACATATTTATATTCAACTGACATTCTAACTGCTTTACTAATTAAATATAAAGGCAAAATATTTACCTTGATTCCCCCAAGGTTCATTGTATCATCTGCACGACCATGTGCATGATAGTATCCTCTAGCAGTACGCTCAAATACATCTCCATGCCTCCGTAAAACCTGACTAAAGAAACTCAAATGTAAATATTCAGGCATCCTAGATACCCAATTACCACATTATTAACGAGAATGGTATGCCTACCTTTCCATTCCAAAGGGGCATTCCCTTGAAATAGACACCATAATGGTCAGCATTCAGCAGTGTATTTGATGCCCCAAACATGAGGGGACCAAGAGCTAATTCACCTATTCCTGGAACATTTTGAGGCTGTAACAGAAAAGAAGATTGAACATTAGTTTAAGTATTTAATCTCAGCAATATTTTGTTCAAGAAAGAAAAGTGAAGTGCCATAGACTTGAATTTTGACTAGTTTGGCAGAACCAAGTATGAAAAACTCTGGAACAAAAACAATAAATGAAATTGTCTTAGTGTAAATATAAATACTTATCATGACTAAGAAACTAAAACATTAATTTTAACGTCATTAGCATGCGAGAACTGCATATAGTTCACCAGCATATTAAACACTGATAATTGTGAAAAGTAACATAATTCAGAAGTAAAGTTGAATGAGTAGCGCTTACAATAGGATGGCCATCATCATCAAGAATAAACAAACTGCAGCCCATAGCAGGTGTGCTAAAAGCAGCCAATGACTGAGCCTGTAGTAATGAACCAGAAACAAATCCACCCCCAATCTCTGTACCACCACAATATTCAATGACAGGCTTGTAGTGAGCTCTCCCCATCAGCCAAAGGTATTCATCTACATTAGATGCTTCTCCAGTGGAGCCAAAGCAACTACATCATTAAAAAAAATAGTTCCAATCAAATACTGCATAATCATAAATGACATTCACATTCATGCGGCACCTCAGTGTATTAGGGTAGTAGATTGTTAGAGAATAGTATAAACCATTAAAAAGCCCTCACCCACCAGCTTAAGTTTTTGGGTTGAATTGGTTCTTTATATGGTATCAAAGCCTCGGTGTACCGAGTTCGATCCTCACCGCCCCCCACTTTCTTTCTAGTGGAATTTCTTTCTTTGCACAGGTAGGTGGGCATGTGCATCGTCCATCCTTCAAGCCCAGTGGGCTCTCGTGTGAGGGGGCGTGTTGAGATATATAAAATCATTAATGTAGCCTCACCCATTAGCTTAAGCTTTTGGGATGAATTGGTTCTTTACAAAGATTTAACTAACACTCACCGGATAGCAGACCAATCATAGCCAGATGTTGAATTCGCACTTCTCCAACTCCGTACAAGACTTGGAATTACACCTAGCATCGTTACTTTAGCATCCTGAACAGGGCACATAAGCATTCCGTGTGAAGAAAAGAATATAACAAAAACAATCCTAATGACTGACCAAAAAGGAACACAACTATATGATTTGTTTTGCTTTCTTGGAAAAACAGAAAATCTAGGACAAGAAATACTTGAACAATTTTTTGGCATTCAAATTATTAATATTATTTTTATTGTGCATATATATATATTGGTATCTATAGTGTCATTTGATTTGGAAACAAAAAAATTATGTTTAATGGTCATTTTCAAACTACATCAGTGGCAAAGTTGTGATCATCAACAGTTGTCATTATGCATAATGGTTGCCAAGTTATCTTGAATAGTTGTTCCCTATCTTCATAATTATGGAAAGCAAACATTCAGTTAATTGAAGAAACAGCAACTATTGAAGGAGAGATTCTTTTATAACTTGTACAACAAACATATATTCTGTCATGCTGTTGAATTACACATAACACGGAGCAAAATTTATTTAAAAGATCAATAGCTGCAAGCTGCACACTGCAGAAACACAGTCCATCCACTGCTTGTGTTATGGAATAAAACCAAAAACCGTAACACAAGGTTGACTTTCCCCAGATGCACCTTCCTATTATAGATTTTATACGTAAAACATTAGTTAATTAAAGCAAAGGTTATTGGCAGAAAATAAACTGCTAAAAAATTGTAGTTTCTGTTCTGTAGTGCAATGGAGAGAGAGAGAGAGTAGACTTATAGAACTGGTCCAGAAGTCAGGAATAACAAAAGAAATAAAGATGAAATTTTTATTGATATGACCTCCCATACCCCGGGATCAATGGATAACCCATGGTTAGGAAGAGAAAGAATGGTTACAAATCTGCTGTCACTCAGGTATTCGAAAGCCTATCTCTACCACACATACATCTGTTACCAATGAATGCCCAATCCTCTTCCTCTTCATTCGGTATATTCTACTTCTGGTTATTTCGTCAAAGGATCATCCTTATCTTGTTTGAAGTATCTTTTTTTGACTATAAGTTACTTTTGAGCTAAAACTAAAAATAAGAACTTAAAATATAAAGCTAAAAGTTATTTGTGATTATATAAAAAATTTAGCTTAAAAGTTATTTTAAAGCTCAAGCTAAAAATAAGTTATTTGATAAAATAACTTTCATAAGCTCTTGAAAAAGGTCATAATTGAAAAAAAAAAAAAAAAGAGAACTCAGAAAAAGGTGACATACGTCTTATAAATACTCCTACTTGGAGAATAAGGTTTATTTATTTTTTATTCATTATAAAAAAAAGCTTTTTTATGATAAGAGCTTTTATAAAAATATGTTTCACTAAGCTTCCCCTTAGAAGGAAATGAGAAGTTAAAAAAAAAAACCCGCCAAACAGGTACTAGGTAACTTTGACTATGGTATCTAACAGTGTCAATTAATATCAAGAAAAACTATCTATGATATCTAACAACATCAATTGTCAGAGAATGCTATGAGTCTAAGCTCAGCTAGGAGTGAGTTTAGGTTATGCTTGTTCTAGAATTAGCTTAGTCTGTCTACAAATAGGTCTTAAAAGTTCTGTAACAACTGTTAGTGGGTTACAACTATAACAGATTCAGTTAGAGTCAGTTAAGATCCTAGTTTATATATATTCTATATATGAATAAATTAGTTATTAGGTCAATTACATTTTCAAGATTCACTTCACACTCTCTGCTCTCCCCCTCTCTATCCCTGCTCTCTGTTTACGCATATTCAATCTCAGATCAGATCCTGCAATTTGTTATCACAGATTTGACCCATCCTATTTCAAGCTCCAGCTAGTTTTCCTTTGGTGCTAATTCCGACTTTACCAGCAGTCAAGGATTTCATGTTGCTCATGCTTCAACTGGTGCTCCTCAATCTCCAGCCTCTTCACCGGTGCCACATTGATAGGAATTTAGCCCTTTCTATCAATTAAGAGGGAGACAATTTGTATATTAATAAAAGGAACGATTACAGTAAGGTTTGCAACAGAAAAGTAAAAGAGCCAAGGCTCCCTGCTAAGGAGATAACTCCACTAGCCCCTCTACACCTGTAGAAAATTAACAAATCAATCGATACCCTCTCACTCCTACTCTCCACTCCATATAAACGTCTCAAAGCAATACTGAAAGCAATAACAACAATAATAAACTTCACCTCTCACTCTCTCTCCATAACCGTTTATTACAACTCATTACACGTCACACAATTTCCCTATTTCTATTCTTTCTGTGATAAACCAGCATTGGTTCAGTTCTACTTTGCTTGGGCTGCTCCTCTTCACCCATGGGCTGCTCCTTTTCTTCTACACATGGGCCTGCATCTGTTGGGCTGTTTGAAGTTGCACTTCTCTTATCACACATTCTTCTCCTACTCAATTTCCTGCCTTGCCATGGCACTAACAACCCCAAAAGCCACCACGATCCTCTCAACTTGTTCTAGTGCCACCACGTCCTCCTGCACCAATTTCTTATGCTCCCCATGGACAGTTTCCTCTCTCTGGTCCATCCTCTCAGCCTTCCAGGCCTTCTCCAATGGCATATCTTGCAACATCAGAAGCCTCAGTTGGTCAGAACTCGGAGGTTTGCAGACTAAGATGCCACTCATCATGTAACTGGCAACCCTTAGAACTTCCTTAGCAGCATGAGCTTGATAGTTCAGATCATAATCTCATGGGTGATAGCCAAGGGCTTCCTATTCTGTCAATGGGTTCAACTTCACTTCCCTCTTACACACCTTCACAAACCCTTCACCCTCAAAAACCTACTCCTTGTTCCCTCTATCACTAAAAGCCTTGGCAGTGTTAGTCCGTTTTCTCATGATAAAAATATTTATTTTGAGCTTCATTCTACCAATTGTCTTGTAAAATATCAGGAGACACACAGAATTATCTCTGAAGGGATGCTTAGGACTGATGGTCTATATTGTTTAACCCAATCTTGTGGTATCATCCCAGCTCACTTCATACCCTCCAGTGCCTCCTCTCCAAGTTGTCTCTCGGTTGTAGCTGCTACTGGCTATTCCAATTTCACCTCTCCTGTTGTGGTACAATCTTCACTTGTTCCTAATACTAGTTCACACTCTATTAACACCGTAAATGCACCCACTCCACCCTTAGGAGCACCCACTTTCTCTATGTAAAATCTATGGCATTGTAGGTTAGGTCATCCTTATTCCAATATTATAAAGTCTGTACTTCAAATGTGTGACCATTTAATAAAAAAGTGTTAATGATTTATGTTCAGTATATTGCTTAGGCAAAGCTCACCGCTTGTCTTCCTCCTTTTCCTCTACGATTTACGATTACCCTCTTGATCTCTTGTTTAGTGATCTTTGGGGACTTGCCCTTGTTACTTCCTCATATGGTTTCAAGTATTATATTACATTTGTTAATGCTTGCACTCACTACACTTGGATCTAATTCTTAAAACAATGGTTTTGCACTCACTACTTCCTCAGATGGTTTCAAATTCGAAGCTCTTACTGTTTCCTTCATTTTAAAACCGTGATTAAATTGCAATCAGACACTAAAATCATGTCCATTCCAACTGATTGGGGTGGTGAATTGAGATCCTTATCTAATGCCCTCTTTGACTTTGGTATATTTCATAGACTGATTCGCTCACACACTCATCACCAAAATAGTTCAGTTTGTCAAGCAACCAACTTTCCCAAAAGCTTAAGCTATTCAGTGAAGGCAGATGGATGATTTTCTACTTTATTTTATATTTCTAACTTACCCTCTCACACAAGAGCTCATTGGGCTTGAAGGGTTAACAATGCATAGGGACCTAAGTGGGTATGTAAAAGGAGGAGGAAAAATGGGAGACAAACAAGTGCAAGGAATAGAAAAATTAATTAGGCCAAGTGGCACGTGGCAGGTTAGGAATGGAGAAGGGGAAAAGGAGGATATCTGAATGATGAGAACAAAAGTGGAGAGGAGGGCAGGGGAATGGCACGCGAGAATTGTGTTGTTGGTTGGGAAGGGATTCTGAGATTCTCCATGAGGTCTCAAAGGATGTCTTGGGAGCCATGGTAATGTGCCACTTTAATTTCCTTTCAGTTTTCATATCAGTGACAGTGACTTGATTTTGATTTTGCTGTTCTGTGAATTCGCAATTCTATAAGGAGCTCAGTCTCCATCTCTTTTCCAATTAATACAATCAGTATTTCTTTGAGGGTTCATCACTCTAAGTCATGTCATTCCTTTCGTTCACTCTGAGTGTACATTTCTAGGTTATTCTTTTGCTCATAAAGAAGAAGAAATATCCTGCTTCTGACTAATTTATCAGAGAAATATCCTCCTATATCAGGCAGCTTTAATTACTGTATCTAACCATGTCAATTAATATCAAGTAATCTATCTACTATATCTAACAATATCAATTAATATCAGGCAGCTCTATCTAATATACCTAACAATATCAATTAAATCAAACTACTATTACTAACACGATCTACCCAACTAGATCATTGGAACCATCCTTATATCTTCTCACATACCCACTGCTCAACTAGATCATTGGGCCCATTCTTATTTCTTCTCACATACACCTTACTAATTGGGGGGCTGCTACTAACATAGACATGTATTTTTAGATAATGGAATGATCCAAGTACACAAGACAATTGTTTTGACTTGTTTTGGATGAGTTCAGGTAAATGTAAAAGTAAAATAGAAGGGAAAAAAGGAAAAGCCCGGCACATAAGGACCCCCAACTTTACGAGGGTAAAGGTTAGGGTCAATGTACACAACCTTACCTTTGTATTTTGGTAAACAGACTGTTTTTCGAACTTGAAACTGAGACCTTCCGGTCAAAAAAGAGCAACCTTATGCTGCTCCAATGGTAGCTCTCAAAAGTAAAATAAGTACAAAGTGATCTGCACAAACTTCTTAGATAAAAATATAATTGCTTTTATATAATCTTCCAAATAAGTACTTGCTTTTATGCACAAATAACTTTTTGAGAATGTGCCAATGAATAAATAGCAAACGTTGACAGGCAACAAAAGCTAAGGGAAGAATTGAAAATTTAAGCGGCAGGATAAGCTTATACCTGTACAAACTTGGCAAAGCCAGACCCAAGAGGGGATCCATTATACAAAGCCATTGAAGCTCCATTTATCAATGATGCATATACTAGCCATGGCCCCATCATCCATCCAAGATTAGTGGGCCAGGAAACTACATCACCTTTACGGATGTCCAAGTGGCACCATGCATCTGCAGCAGCTTTTAAAGGAGTAATATTGGTCCATGGAATTGCCTTTGGATCCCCTATACGGCCAAATCAGATGACACTTGATGAGCTTTAAGCCAGCTTCACATGGCGAACAAAGTCTTGGCATTGAATTAAGCCTTTTACCTCAAATCTCCTTAATTATTACAAAAGCTTTGCGCTTAAATATCTATGCTTTCAGGCCAAAATACAAAATTTAACTTACCAGTTGTTCCAGAAGAAAAGAGAATGTTTGTAAATGCTTCTACTGGTTGTTCTGCAGCTATGAATTCCTTCCCTCTATATGTTACATGACAACAAATGAGAATGAGAATTCCAAGAGAACTACACAATTAAACTATTCATGCTGTAGAGCATTCAAATCATCTCTGAACATTAGTAACCATGAGCATGGCGAAAGGATCAAAGGCATATAGCCTACCAATGTTTTCTTATAATTTATTTAATAAATTGTCCATCTCTGAATAAATGAGGACTAAAATGCATACCTGAGACTATTGACTCCATCCAAAAAATCAAGCCAAGAAAGGTCACCATTGCGCAGTTTCATGCTAAACCCAGAGCCTCTGGAAGGGAGAACTACTGCCATAGGTGACTGGGCATCCACAATTCTACTGCATTTGTGAAGCAACAACATGAGACACCCTATTACTGAGAAACAAAGGAGACAACTCAGTTGTAGGGTTACTTTACTAAATGGTAAGAAGGATTTTCACCTGTAAAGGGGGAGACTTTTGTCACCACGAATAATAAGATCCTGAAAAATAAAAGAGAGGAGGGAAAAGGAAGAATGAGACAGGAAAAAAGTCAATAACTATGACACTACAATTGGAGTGCCAATAATAGCTGACATCAAGAAATAAGCTAGGTTTCTTAAATAGTTGAATTATAGGAATTTAGATAGCAAAGGAGGAAAAAAAGAATAGAGATTGAATAATCTAAAATTGATAATGATTTGATATGAAGGATGTGATACAAAATACAAAGTTCTAACTCTTATTTAGAATAGAGGCCTGATCCTAATTAAAAAAAGGGGAACAAATCATGAAATATAATGTAACTTGGAAACCACTCCAAAAAAGATCATTTAAGAAACTCTCTTCATTTTAAGATACAATGATAATATTATGAGATATTTCTAGATATTCTAATACTCCATCTAAAATTTATTAGAAGATTATTAGATAGATGGGTGCGGCAAGGATCAAACTCTGGATAACTTGGTTATAGAGGCTTAAATACCTTGTCAAATAATCAATTCAACCTAAAAGTTTAAGTTGTTAAGTGAAGGTCATATTAATGATTTCATATATTATCTCTAACAAATCCCCTCACGCAAGAGCCCTTTGATCTTGAAGCATAGATAATGCATAGGCCTTTTTTTTATTTACCTTGTGCTGATTTTATCTTACTTTTGAATTTTATTAGAAAATAGGGATGGTGAGAATCGAACTCATGACCACTTGGATACAAAAGCAGGAAACGAACTATCCAAAAAGCTTAAGTTGTTAGGTGAAGGCAAATGAATCATTTTATATATTATATCATATCTCTAATAGTCTCTATTCCCTCTTTTCCTTCTACCTTTCCTAAAGTCTCAATATTTTCAATATAATATCAAAGCAATACCATCCTCCGTGACCTATCTCATCCTTTTCCAATGTCAAGTTTTCCAAAGTTGGAACTCTTTTTACTTGGTATATTTTGTTTCATCTTACCTTAATTTTCAGTGACTATTTTTCACCTTCCCATTAAGCATGACAAATTCAAGCCACCTTTTCTCTCCTTGGTTCATCTCTGTAACGGGCTTCTTCAGCCCAGCATTGCCACCATCCTTATTGCCAGTACATCACCATTCCACCGCTAGAGTTTCGTCGCTTTCCAAGTTGCCACGCATCCCCACATGTAAAACGTTCATATGCTAATCTACATGCTTAGCATGTGAGGATGCGTCTTGGTGTGAGGACACATCCAACAACATTTCTAGCCATGGTCGCTTCCATTTGACTCATTGTCTCATCCTCTTTCCATATCAGGGCTCACCTTGTCCAACCAGTCATTGAAATCAGTTCAATCAGCCTCTTTATTGCATGTGTTGTCTTTATTCATTCTACCTCCACCATTGTTTACCTTGTTGCGCCATTTCCAACCAAATCCTTCACTTCTATTTGCAGCCTTCTCATAGCTATTTGGCTCCTCTATTATAGTTTTCTGTGTTCGATGGCCAAATATGATTTATTCTCTCAAAGTCTCTCTGTCACGTTTGATGTGTTGTTTCTTGGCATTTTTTGCGGTTGTTGTATTTGATTTTCCATTATTTTTGCTACTATATGACTCTTTTTCAATCCTAGCATTGCATTGAGAGGGAGAAATTTGGAAGGTGTTTGTCATGCTATCCTTTTCCACTAATGAATCTGATAGGGCTCAACTTCACAAAGGCCAATTTGGTAAGGTTTATATTAGAGATCATAATAGGAGTAAGTGGCCCGATGAAGATGTTAGAGCTACTGTGTCACAGCCCAATGAGAATGCTGAGTCTGCTTGTTTGTTACGCAAGCTGTGCCTGAAAGTGATAAATTACGTACGTGAATGAGGTGTGGGCACCGTGGAGGTCAATTGAGTTGCTCAGGAAATTGTGGAAGATTCTCAGGGTGTCTCGAAGGACCCTATTTATTGCTTTTCGTCATTGTTATTTTCCTTTATTTCACCGTAATTCTAATCCATAGCTGTTACTATGGAGATGTAGCCATGAACAATGGTGAATTACTGGATTAGAGAATACAGAACAACTATTCATTAATTGTTTCTAGTTACTGTTTGTTTCCTAACAAATTAGTATCAAAGCTCCGACTGGGAGCTGGGTTATGGTGCGAACGAGAACCATGGAAGGATTGGAAGAGAGGTCACGTCGAACAGAGTTGGGACAAGAGGAGCTGATCAAACGAATGGAAGCAAGTGATATTAATCAGGAAGAAATCATCAGGCAGTTGAGGGAGCTCGGGGCTGGAATCCAAGAGCTCCGATCTGAAGGATTTTGGGACGAGCGAAATTTTGGGGGAAGAAGGAGAAGCGATTCCTCTGGTTCGAATGGGAATCGCAGAGGGGCAAGTTACGGAGAGCTGAGGTGCAGGAAGCTTGAAATTCCCTCATTCTCTGGGCAAAACGCATACGCCTGGTAAAGCAAGGTGGAGAGGTAGTTCCAAGCAAATGAGATTGGGAACGAGGAGAAAGTGGCGGCTGTAATGCTTGTTCTGGAAGGTGAAGCTCTCACGTGGTACTAATGGTGGGAGCTCAACAATGTCACCATCACTTGGGAGTTGTTTAGGCGTGAAATTTTAGGCCGTTTCCAACTAGAGATGATTGATAATCCTTACGGTCCTCTATACGCGTTGAAGCAAACGGGTTCCGTAGCTGATTTTCATGCAGAGTTCGAGACGGTGGTAGGGATGATGAGGTATGCTGATGAAGAGATATTGAAAGGGGCTTGGCTGAGTAGGCTGAAAGCTAGTATAAGAGAGGAAGTCCTTATGAACACTGAGCTGCGTTTGACTTCCATAATGAAATTGTCCCAAAGGATTGACCTTAGGAATGCTGCGTAGGCTGAGGAAGAAGTGGGCTTCTTTGGTCCTAAAAGTGCTAGTGGGCCTCAGAGACTCAATATGGGCCCAAGGAACACTACACACTGGAGTTCCTCTAATTCTGGGTTAAGGCACACAACACTGAAGGCAGCCTCAGATTTCCCCAAATCAACCCAAACACGTGTGACACAAGGAGAGCCAACGCAGGGAAGCTTCGTCGGAAGTCGCGCGACGGAGACATCCAGGAATAAGTCCGACGCCTTTCAGATGCTGAGACTCAAGAGCGAAGGCGTCAGGGGCTATGCTTTAAGTGCGATTAAAAGTGGGGACCAGAACACAAGTGTACCGCTCGACAACTTCATCTCCTCATCGTAGATGAAGAAGACGTAGAAGACCCAAAGTCAATGGAGGAAGTCGAGTTGGTCGTGGCTGTCCCGTTGCAGAACGATGAGGATACGTCTCTCCAGTTATCATTGCAGAGCCTGATGGGGATCTCATCGAATCAGTCCATGAAGGTATGGGGGATGATTGGTGGCAAACGGGTGGAGGTGCTCATTGATTGTGGGGCGTCTAGTAACTTCGTCAAGCAAGGACTGATAGACAGCTTGGGGTTGAAGGTGGAGGTGACGCCCACATGCACTGTCGAGATAGGGAACGCGCATAAGGTGACATGCCAGGGGGTGTGTAGGGGAGTTGTTATTGGAATTCAGAATAGCATCATTGTGCAAGACGAATTTTAGAGAGATGACCATCAAATACTTAATTGATGGGCAGGAGGCAAGCATTAAAGGAGATCCGTCTCTCTCCAGGACCATTGCCTCACTTAAATCGATGGCAAAGGCACTGGAGCAAGAAGGACAGGGCTACTACGTGAAGTGGGAAAATTCCCTTCCCTCTCAGAAATTCCAAGAGGAATGGAAGGAGCTTGACGATCTGCTAGTGCAGTTTGGGGATATTTTTGCTGAGGCCAAGGGATTTCCTCCAAAAAGGAGTTAAGACCACGCCATCATTTTGAAACCGGATGCTCAGGTGCCCAACAGACCTTACAGGTATCCTTTTTACCAGAAATCTGAGATTGAGAAGTTGGTTGCTAAGTGATGGTATGATTAGGCCAAGTGTAAACCCGTATTCGAGCCCTGTTATTTTGGTGAAAAAAAAATGATGGGAGCTGGAGAGTATGTGTGAATTATAGGGCCTTAAATAAAGTCACAGTCCCGGATAAATTCCCCCTTCCAGTTGTTGACGAATTATTGGATAAGGTGGGGGGTCAAGGGTGTTCAGTAAGCTAGACCTTAAATCAAGATTTAATCAAATCCGAATGAAGGACGAGGATATCCCCAAAACCGTTTTTAGGACTCACGAGGGACACTACGAGTATTTAGTAATGCCATTTGGCCTTACTAATGCCCCCTCTACATTTCAAGCCCTTATGAATTATGTGTTGAAACAGTATCTGAGGTTTCTTCGATGACATATTGGTATATAGTAAAGGGGCTGCTGAACATGTAGACCACTTGAGGAAGATATTTGATATTCTGTGTTCTCACAAATTGTTTGCAAATAAAAAGAAATGTGTTTTTGGACAAAAGCAAGTGGAGTATCTTGGGCATATAGTTACTGAAGAAGGAGTACAGGCTGACCCCTTAAAGATCAAGGTAATGGAAGAGTGGCCAATTCCAAAGAACGTTAAGGGACTGAGGGGATTCCTCGGATTAACAGGCTACTATAGGAAGTTTGTCAAGGATTATGGCAAACTAGCACGCCCTCTCACAGATTTATTGAAGAAAGATGCCTTTAAGTGGGATGAAAATGCGCACGCTGCTTTTGACCAATTGAAGAAGTTGATGAGTATTGTCCCTGTATTAGCCCTCCCTGACTTTTCCAAGACTTTTGTTGTGGTGACTAATGCCTCAGGTAAAGGTATAAGAGCGGTATTAATGCAAGAGGGCAGGCCCTTAGCCTATATCAGTAGGGGGTTTTCGCAGCACGTTATTGGGAAATCAGTTTACGAAAAAGAACTAATGGTTGTAGTATTTGTTGTCCAAAAGCGGAGACCGTACCTGTTGGGTCGGCATTTTGTTGTTAAAACAGACCAGAAAAACCTCAAATATTTGTTTGAGCAGAGGGTACTAGGAGAGGGTCAGCAAAAATGGGTCTCTAAACTAATGGGGTATGATTTTGAGATTCATTATCAGCCGGGAAAAGGGAATGTTGTCGTTGATGCTTTGTCTCGTAGTGAGGAATTTTTTCTGTTGTCTAAGGTACAACCTATGATGCACGGACACTGACACCGGACACGGGACACGACACAACATGACACGACACGACGACACGTTAATTCTAAAAATTGGCATATTTCGACACGTTGGATCACGTTTTGATATTAAATAATATTTCTAATATATATAATATAATTTATATTTAATACATATAACAGTCTATAAGTCATATAACCAATCAAATATTCAAATTTCATAACATAAATATAGAAAATAATAATTTTTCGTACGTTGTTAATTTTTTATGTCAAATTTCATAACAGAAAAAAAATTGATTTATAAATGAATTTTTTTATTTTTAGTTAATAAAATAAAATTAAAACTAAAAAAAAAAAAAAACGTGTCGGAGCGTGTCGGAACGTTGACCACCTGTCGAAAAAAGTTGACTACGTGTCAAAAAAACGTGTTGGAGAGTTGACCACGTGTCCCAAAATGTTGATCGCGTGTCGGAACGTGTCAGAGCGTGTCGGTGTCCGACACGCATTTTTTTTAAAAACTGGCGTGTCCGGGTATCTGAGGGTACAGCTGCCTCAGTTGGGGGAGATTGACCGTGAAGTGCAAGTTGATCCGAGACTTATGAGCATAGTTCAAGATCTGCTGGAAAATCCAGCCTCTCACGCCGGGTTCCACCTACAGGGGGGACGCCTTTTCTACAGAAACCGGTTAGTCCTATCCAGATCTGCTGGAAAATCCAACCATTGCCCATACCGTCTCAGGTTTGGATGGATATATCCATAGACTTTGTTGGCGACTTACCTAAGGCTCACGGAGTGGACACTATCTTTGTAGTGGTAGACCATCTCACCAAATTTGCTCATTTCTTGCCATTGGCTCATCCTTATTCTGCTAAGGAGGTTGCTGACTTGTTTGTTAGGGAGGTGGTTAGGCTACATAGGTTCCCTCTTACCATTGTGTCAGATAGGGACCGGTTGTTTCAAAGTCATTTTTGGTCTGAGCTTTTTATATGCGCAGGAACTAAACTTAAATTCACAACTGCATACCATCCCCAATCAAACAAGCAGACTGAAGTGGTGAATAAGAGTTTTGAAACCTATTTACGTTGCTTTTGTAGTCCCAAACCCCGCACTTGGCCTAAGTGGTTGCACTGGGCGGAGTATTGGTACAACACCACTTACAAGAACTCCACAAGGATGACCCCATTTAAGGCGTTGTATGGTGTTGATCCTCCTAGCCTCTTACGGGTTGGTAATAGTTTTCCAGCAGTGGATGCAGTTTCCCAACTGTTGGCTGATAGGGAAGCTATCTTGGAGGAGTTAAAGGGGAATTTGCGCAAAGCTCAGGACAGCATGAAGTCTCAAGTGGATAAAAAAAGGAAGGATGTGCAGTTTGAGGTGGGTAACTTTGTCTATTTGCGTCTCCAGCGTTGCAGATTGAAATCTCTGGCTTCTAAAGTTAATGAAAAATTAAGTCCACGTTACTACAGACCATTTGAAGTTCTGGCAAAGGTTGGTGAAACTGCTTATAAGTTGGCCCTTCCAACTTCTAGCAAGGTTCATCCGGTTTTTCACGTATCCTTGCTCAAGGAGGCAGAGCGTCCTATTGCCAATGCTCAAACTCTACCCTCTGGTCTTTCCGAGGAGTGGGAATTGTTTGTGGTGCCGGAAAAGGTGTTGCAATGGCACAGGGATCACCAGGGGCTGTTGCAAGCATTAATTCAGTGGCATGATCTTCCTCCTTTTGAGAATTCGTGGGAAGACTTTGTTGTTATCCAAGCCCAATTCCTTGATTTCTACTCTGAGGACAAGGTGCTTTCTTTGGGGGAAAGTATTGATAGGGCTCAACTTCACAAAGCCCAATTTGGGAAGGATTATATTAGAGACCGTAATAGGAGTAAGTGGCCCAATGGAGATGTTAGAGCTGCTGTGTCACAGCCCAATGAGAATGCTAAGTCAGCTTGTTTGTTAGAGGAGTTTGTTACGCAAGCTGTGCCTGAAAGTGATAAATTATGTACGTGAATGAGGTGTGGCCACCGTGGAGGTCAATTGAGTTGCTCAGGCAATTGTGGGAGATTCTCAAGGTGTCTCGAAGGACCCTGTTTATTGCTTTTCGTCATTGTTATTTTCCTTTATTTCATTGTAATTCTGATCCATAGCTGTTACTATGGAGATGTAGCCAGATTTATTTCATGTTAAACAATGGTGAATTACTGGAATAGAGAGAATACAGAACAACTATTCATTAATTGTGTCTAGATACTGTTTGTTTCCTAACAGAATCATATCAGTAGTGACTTCTTTCTCAGGAATGAATCATACTAGTTGTGATTTATGTTGACTATGACTCACACCAACCCAATACAGTTTAACCTGTCTTTATCCCAAATACAATCTGACATGTCTCCATCCCAGATGTTGGCTATGTTCTATTTTTCATTTATTTTATTTTAGTATGTTTAATTACAAGCTTGAAGCTTAGTAAGCTTCAGCTTGAAGGTGAGTATTAGAATATCTAGAGAATACCCTGTAATATCCTTATTGCCTCTTTGAATAAATAGAGTATCTTAGAAGATCTCCTAGGAGTGGTTGTCAAATTTCATTATATTTTATTATTTGTTTCCTTATTTAATTAGGAATATGAGTGTAGTATTATTATAATAGTGATTAGTACCTTGCATTTTGTATCATATCAAATGAATATCAATTTAAGATCATCATGTATCTATTCTTTCGTTTCGTCCTTCCCTACCTAAAAATGCATATAATTTCAATAGCAATAAACAACAACTTTAGTTTCCTAAGTGACAAATCCAGGAAAAATCATCAAAACACCTGAAAAGACAAGATAAAAAAATCACCAGATGAAAATAGGGAATCAACCTGAGTAAATATGACTTTTGCATTTGATATTTTCAGCCTGGTTGATATTTCAAGTGCTGCAAAACTATCAGCAATGGATACAACAGCATAACCTGCAAGAATGATAGCTAGGTAGATAACCACAGATTTAAAATTCATTGGCATATCAATCGCAATTGCACATCCTTTCTCCAGACCCAGTGATTCAAGAGCATGCGCAACTAACCTACAAGTTAAAAGATGCAACACAATTTCATTTCTTTCTTTTTTTATTTTGATATTTTGAACTAAAGAAGCTATAAGCATAGACTAACCACACTATGCACTGTTTCAAATTCAAAGATTTACCCAAAGATATACCATGAATTCAAAAACTGCTGCATAAAGCTACCATCTATATTTTTGGGGATCAAATCATAATTTTCAAATATACAAGTTAGGAAGCAAGTCAAATACACACAAGTTAGATTAGAAAGGTAGGAACTTGCACTTTGTTTGAAGCACGGACGTAGCCTGCCAACTCTTGTTAGCTGTGCAGCAAGTATCTTTTAGGACGTTATAAAGTTTGGAAAAACTGCTACATAAAGCTACCATCTATATTTTCTGGTACAATTGGTCCAAACCACAATCTTCCAACACACAAGTAAGAAACTGCACTTTAATACTGTGGAAGTGGGAGGTCTATCCTGCCAACTCTTATAAGTTGTAAACTGCCATACAAGCTATGATTATGGTCAAGAATAAAGGCAACAAATGATAGACTAAACTGATTATATGAGGAAAGCTGGCACAAAAGGAATTTTGAAATGTCCTGAACAACAACGAAGATACATATTGTACAATTCACAAGTGTAGCAAGAAAAAAGCAATAAAAGCTAATAGCAAATGGACAGGCTATTTTCAGCATACCAGACCTCTTCACGCAATTCCCCAAGTGTCATCCTTTGAACAGGAAGATCATCATGTAGTTCATCGCGCCATATTATTACAGTATCATTCAAGCTTCTTCTGCAATTTAAACTTAAACAATTCTTTGCCGCATTAATAGATGCTCCAGGAAGCCATTTACCACCTGGGTTTTCCCCCGCGAGGTTATCATGTAAGATGCATTCAGGTGGTTTCGAAAAAGATATGTTCATTTCATCCAGCATAGTTTTCCAATAAACCTGAAACAACACACAATAACAATGACAAACACTGAAACTGCCAAGTACGAGAAAAGTTGAGAAATTCAAAGAAATTTTTTGATATTATCTTGGTTGAACCTCAGGGTTTGAGACTGAAAATTTCTGGAAATCAGGAAAGCTTGTAATTGGATCCTTATATGCTGAACCCAGAAACTCTTTACCCCTCTTTTCTAGTAACTGACCAACATTCGTCACAGTAGCATTTTCCCTAATTACAGATGAATTAACAACAACAAAAAGCTCATTAGCTCTTATTTCATAATTTAAATTATTGCACACATTAACCACGGATCTTGCATGTGTCCACATAAAGAAAAATCATGAACTTCCAAAGTTTTATCAAAATATGTACATAAATGATACATATTGAACGAGAAGTGGTCTTAAAGAGCATACGGGTCGGGTATCCAAGCGGGTGGGTCGGGACCGTAATCCTTGTAGAAACCATAGTACAACATCTGATGAAAAGAGAAGGGAAGTTCAGGGTTGAGGATGCTGCTGGTGATGTTCTGCCACGTGGCAGGGGTACCAACTCCATGAATTCCAATGATTTCTGTGAGACGTTCATGGAGTGTAGCAGCAGCTTCTCTTGCAACTCCAAGGGATTCAATATCGGACACAGTGATAAAGCTTAGCGATTTGTAAGCCATGTAACCAACAAACACACCCTGCACCAAACTCACTTCACTCTATCTAGGCTCTAACTTCTTTGTGCCTGAAATCCAAAAGCAACCAAACATTACAATAAAATTATAAATCGAATGGAATTTCAAAAGGTTGCTACAAATTTAACCTTTCAATTGAAAACTCAAAACCGTGAAGATTCCATTCAGTATTTGTTATAATATAGATAAAATCATCACAAATTTTATTTCTAATCTATCAAAATATATATAAATAAATCTCATGACCAATAACTAATTGGATAGATACCAGCACATCCAGATCACTCTCACTGTCAGCAGATGCAGCTTGGAAATGTTATCTTTTGGGTTGGTTTCTGGGGTGCGAGGCCATTTAAAAAAATAAAAATTTAAAAAAGAAAGTTTGGTTCGGTTTGGTTTACCTTCCGCATGTCACACGGTATGGTCTCACGTGGTATGGTCCTCTTTGGCATGCCATTTTTAAAACAAAGGATAAGAAATAGAGCGGAATGATATTATAAATGAGTCCCCTAAATTCGATTGAGATTGATTGGTTCAATCAGGGACTACTGCTTAAATCATATGATAATTATATATAATTTTATAATTTATATTAAAATATTATAAATATAATCAAATATTTGTAAAAAATAAATTTCAAATATTTTAATATAAAGAATAATAAATCACACATTATTATCTAATAAAGGATCAAACAAAAATATAATGATCGTGATACGAGATTTTAGGTTCAGTAAATGACTTCTCTAATTTTAAGTCAAATTAAAATTTCTTGTATAGTGCATAATACAGATATATTAGTGTTGTAGATACATAACCTATGTAAGTCAATAAGCAAAAAATACTCAAATATGTCTATTATGATTTTTTTTTAAATGTTTTTTTTTTGCTATTTTTTTTTTTTGAGATTGGACCAGGTCGTGCCGGGTCACACCAGTTCTGATGTATAGCTAGTTTGTTGCTTCAATTAGATTGATTATATGACCGATTTATTGATTCCCAGATCTATTTCGCTAGATCGGTCCAATTTTATTAATATTGGTCCAGTATGTTTGTATTCTTATTGCACCATGCGAAGGAAATCGAGGAAAGGAAGACGAATGATATTTTACCACTATGTATTTTAAGAGAAATAATTATGTTTTGATATATAGTTAACTCTTTTGAAATGACTAATATTTTTTCCAATAATTATTCGTGGCTATTTTTTATTTTTAATAATATTAAATAAAGTATTTTTTATTATATAATATCTACGTAAGAGAAGTTATAATTTGCTCATTTTTTTCTCTCTTTTTTTTATAATTTGTCATCGTTACATTTTATCTTCATATTAATGAAGAGAGTCTATAGTTTGTTTGTCAACTCTCTTTTTAACTTAAAAGTTACTTTTAAGTTAAAGCTTAAAAATAGATTAAAAAATAAAATTAAAAGTTATTTAGTAATTATATAAAGTTGTTATGATAGTTTTAGAGTAGAGAAGATAAAATAATTTATTATCAGAATGAATTTTCAGGATAAATGATATAATTTATAAATATAAGTTTAAAATAAGAGTAAAATTGTATAATAAATAAGGAATCAAAAAAAGCTGACACATGTAAGAACTCGCACCGTTAAATTAGAATTTTAATAATAAATTATGATTTTAGGAAATTATTCCAAAATTCAAATAGGATAATTAGAGAGAATTTATAATTATTTAAATTAATTTACTTTTCGGGAAAGTGTAAATGCAGTGTATTTTATGGTAAAAAGATTTACCGGCGAGATTACCCGGAAACTTGAAAGAAATCAATTGTGATTTTAAGAATTATTTAATAATTTAATATTTCAAGTTTGATAATTAGAAAGAAATTTTAATTATTTAAATTATGTTAGCTTTCAGCGAAAAATGAGGATACTACGTGTTTCGCAGTAGACACATAGGGTATAGAAAAATACCCTGAACTTAGAAGTAAATTAATAACTATTATTCATAAATGTTAGTGAGCGAAAAATAATAAGAGATGCCTAAGTTAAGTTAAGAAAAGAGTTAATGAGTGGATTTAGTGAATAAGTGCACATTAAGGTTAGTGGAACCCACTTAATTGACTAAAACCACATTCCTCTAACCTTGCACCTCATTTCCTCAAATTTCTAAATCCTACCTTGCATATTAGAAAATGCATTATTAATGATTGAATTGTGGATTGGAGGATTTAATTAGTGAAAATTCTAAAATTCGGGTGAAAATACACTCGAAGAGAAAAATGGTAATTTGATAATTATTGTAACCCTAAAATTATGAAATGATATAATTAGACATTATTTGATGAAATACTGTATATAATTTTACAGAGAAACTTAAATGGGATTACTGTATTAGGATTGAATTATGTAAAAATATCTAAGTCTTGGATTCTAAAAGAAGTTTCAAGATGGATGATTATGCAAATTGAATTTTAGATATTTTATAACTTTATCAAAAAGTCAAATTTGGTGGCTAAGCTTTATTGGTCTTGAAATTAGCCTATTTTGACTTGTCTTCTTCCTTTCTCCTTGTGCTTGGCCGAACCTCCATGAGTGTGTGAGTATGACACCTCGTAATTCTAAATCATGTAATTATATTTAAAATATGGATTAAAGGGTAGGATTAGTGAAAATCCTGAATTCGGAGTCAAAATACGTAAAAAGGGTAAAACGGTAAATTGCCAAACACGTAACCCTAAGAAAGGAAAATTGAGTAGAAGGTATCAAATGGAAAAACTAACCCTGGAAATGGATTTAGAAAAAAAAATTGAGTGGTTAGACAAATTTCTGAAAAAAAAATATGAATAGTATTTTTACCGGATAAAAATATCACGGTACAGTTGCACTGTAAAGCGTGTCGAATGAATTTTGAGCTCTAGGTTTGGAAATAAGTGAAAAATGGTACATAGGACTAGAGATTATGATTTCTGATGAAAATTGATTAAAATTAGGGTTTTTGGGGAAGCGTGCCCACAGTGCACATAACAGTTTAAAATTGTGATTTCACCAAACGACTGGAAAACTCCGGATCCATCTGACCAAGAATAATTAAAGGACAATGGTTAATGTTAAAAATTGGAGTTTCTAAATATTCTAGAAATTAATGGATGTTTAGTGGTTTAAGCGGGAGTTTTTAAATTAATTTGAATCGCGTGAGGTGGCGGTGGGGCCCACCCCACTTAAGTATAACATGACACATAAGCTAAGAACATTATTCATGTTCTTCCCCACCTCTTCCTCTCTCCAAAATCGTGGCCCCCCTTGGTGTGTATGCAAGTTTTGCTTCAAAACTTCATCTCCTCCAAACTCCATCAAAACTCAACCAAAGCACAACTTTCACTACATCAAACTTTAAGTAAACAACCTTCTAAACACAACCATGGTATTTTCAAGGCATGAAACTCGCTAGATTGGGAGAAAAAGGGGACCCATGGCTACGATTTTGATGAAGAATGTTGATGTTCTTGGAGTGGTTTGATCCTCCATTACTTGCGTATTGTGTGGATGAGTCTTAGGCCTTGATTGTAGATAAGTTTCAACACATTTCATTGGTTGATTCATTGGATTTGATCTTGAAGACCTAAAGCATGCTTGTATGGATTGATATGGTTATGGACTTTAAATTGAAAATGTGTATTAGATAAAAGCATCTTAGAATGATGTTTTATGATGATTGAGCTCATAAAAATTATTGAGGAAAAATGTCATAACTTAGGCAAATTTTGAGATGGAAATTCAAGACTTCGTAAAATGGAATGGTTGTAGGATTGTGTAATTGAGTTGTGGAGTAATTGTATGAGTTAATTATAGGATTGTATGATGTATGGAAGTGTAAAATTGGATTGAATATCCCTAGGTATACATGCATGATGAATTCAACCATGTAGGGAAAATAAGGAAAAGATGATGTGAAAATCATGTGATTGGTGTTGTGTAGTTGTGAACTATGTTTAAATAGGTTGTATGTTGGTTTGATGCATGTGAGTTGGAAGTGGAACCATTAGATATGTCTAAGTGTAGAAATTTGCCTAAAGAAAGATAATTGGGAAAAATAATGTTGGATGGTAATGGAGTGAAATTAAGCAATTGGTTTGGTGTTGGGTTGAGCTTGTGAAGCCATAGAAACCTTGAAATCAAATTAAGAACATAGCTAAATATTTTTGGGCCATTTGGCTGAATCCATGAGTCTGTGTGTGGGAGCGTGGTGCTTTGTGTTTGGAATTGGTTGCACCATTGTATTGATGATCCTTGTGTGATCATTGTAGGTTGCCTCCCACGGACGTGAACTTGGAACGGTGAGCTTGGTGGGTTGCCTTTGGTCCTTGACCAAAAGAATTATGGTAAGTGCTTGTGAAAAGTGTATGAATTATTGTACAACCCAATGTATATTTTTATGTGGTTTTAATTGAAATTGGAATGACCTGTGTGTAGGTATTTCTGGTTGGACCAAGCTCGGTGGTACCTTGCATTGGAGTTACCTAGAGAGGGAGCTTTAACAAGGTAATCCTTTGGTACTGGGATTAATCCCCGTTTGTGCTCCACCATGCCCTTTGGGGGTAGTGGTTGGAGGTTGTATGTTAATAGTGTAATTATAACATGCTCATGCATAAGTATATATATTGGATACATAGGATATACCGTTTCTCTAGCCAGTAGATAGTTGCCTTCGGGCGTTACGGACTTCCATTGGATAGGTCTCCATGAGTGAGTTCCATTTGACCTGGGGACATGGAGTTGTTATCCGTTGAGGAGCACTCTAGGAAAGTCTCGGGTGTATTGGTGGTGGGTGCCTTGGTTGATGTTCTGGGAACACTTCCTTGGATGAGAACCCGTAGGCTATATGCCGAGGCAATAGACCGGATGTTGCGTGGTTTTGGTATTGACCATTCCAGCTTCATCATATTTTTACTCCTTATTCATCCCTACTTCACTAAACCTCTTACTTTATCCCTCTTTGGTTGTTATAGTTCATTATTGATTAACATCTGAGTGAGCCATTAGACAGAGTAATCTCCAGAATCTCTGGGTTATTGAGATATATTCGTATATCTCACTCCGTGTTGAGGTATTTATTTCAGGTAGTAGCAGTGGGGTTGGAGCTGTGGGCAAGAGGCTCATAGGATGAACACTTGGAGATTTGAGCACTTTTTGCATTTCGAGGCCATTTTGGCTTAGGCTAGACTTAGGGCATGAACATTGTATACGGATTTAGGATTATGCATATTCTCATATTTGTTCATGTCATATTTTGCCTAAGTCTAGTTATATATTTACCATGATTGTATTTGGAGGTTCATATTATGCTTTTCATTGGAGAATTGTAATTTGTAAATGTTGGGCCTTGTGTAAATTGAAGCATGATATATGATGAAAGGCAATAGGC